CCCTGCGTGGGGCGGAGGACAGCTTCCATGGTTTGTATTTTTCCAAGAGGAGGAGGCAGTTGCAAGAACAGTGTGAGTCCCTAAAACACAGCCTGACACTAACCCCGTGCGTCGGGCTTTCTTCCGGTTACAAGTGCTTTCGGGCACCCGCTCTGGACAAGGCGTGTCGTGGGCTTTTGCAAAAGAGGAACCCAGGGCCAGAGAGGCTGAGACCAGAACAAGCTCCCCAGGTCACAGAGTCCAGGGCCAGGGCCGCAGCCATGTCTGGGGCGTCCTCTGGGCAGCGCTGTTCAGCCACCCGGGGCATCTGGATGTCCCGCCCAGCCCGGCACCCGGGGTTTCTCGGGGCCCAGCCCCCGTCTCTCCATCACCTGTCCCCCCAACCCCGCTCTGGCCCAGCAATATCGAGCCCCGGCTGCACACGCCACAGCGCATCCTCCGCTCCTGAGAAGGAAAGCGGTTTCTCTCGCTCAGAATCTAATTTCACGCCTGAGACTCGCTGATTAATCCCCTGCCCCTCCTCCGCGGCCTGTCAGCCCCTCCGCTTGTAAATTCCGCGCGTGCCACAGAATTTGTGTGTTTTGCATCAATTAAGTGTCACATTGAGTAATTCTTCCCTGGCACCGGGTTTGTTTATCCCAACCATTCCCACAGGGGGCGGGGTTAGAGCCGCAGAAACTGGCAGGCAGGGAGGCCTGAGAGCAGTTGCCCTCCACATCCGTCCACACGGTGGTACCACGTCTGCACGGCGGTGCCATGTCCATCGAGCTCTGGCACAAATGTTGCCATGTTGTCTACAACAGCCTGACGAGGGCTGGAGGCAGCCCTCCCCTCCACCTCCCGTGCAGATGAGGAAGCAGGTGCTGGGGGACCATGCGCTCCCAAGGGCACTGGTGACCTGTGACCCCGGTGTCTGCAGGGTCTCCTGTGTCCCAGCGGGGTTCATGCGAAAGCAGTAGGAGGTGGGAAGGGAGCAGAGCCTCTAGGAAGTCCTGCCCAGGAGGAGAATGTCCGCCCGGTCCCCTCCGGGGGAGCTGAGCTGGGACGAGGGACTGCCTGAGCCCAGGCGGCTCCAGGGGCTCCGTCACCCTTGAGTGCGCTCAGCATTGGATGAGTCCACCTCCATCCCACTTGCGGAGCCAGGTGTGGGCGACCTGGGTTCTGCTCTGGGCTCTGCAATCTGACCCCGGCAGGTCACTGCCTCGCTCCGGTCTCCGGTCCTCATCCAGGGGAGCCCGCCAGGCCCCTGAGCCAGCGCCGCGGGTCCCTGAGCCTGGGAGGCTCCGCAGCGGGGGACCTGCCGCCCACGCTGTGTGCCCTCCTCAACCTCCTCAGACACCTGCTCAGTGCCAGGCCCGGAGACGCAATGGGTCCGCACTGCCCCGAGGTGCCCTCAGTCCTCTGGGCGGTGATACAGGCCTGGTGCGCGCTGCTGCTGGCGAGGGCCGTGCGGGTGGTGACAGTGACTTCTCCTGGGAGAGGTGGGTGGGTGGGAATGGGAACCCCCCTTTTCACACACTGTGCACTCGCCCACACCTTCAGGGGTATATATTACACTTTCAAGTGTTTCTGTAAAAAGAGGAGATTTTGTTTAAAAATAAAATGAAGGGAAAAGGAAGCTCTGGGAGGCGGACCTGCAGGCACAGTGGAGCGCTGAGAGGAGGTGGGAGCGGTGTAGAGGCCAGGCCAGGAGAGCGGTGGGAACTAATCATGGGGCCTTGGAGCTCAGGCAGGAGTGCATTGTGCCCTGTGATGCAGGGGAGCCTGAGGAGCTGTCACAGCAGGGAGGCGCATGGGAAGGAGCCCGGGAGGCCTGGCAGGGTGAGCGCCAGCCTGAGCGAGCAGCGGGCACCACTCAGAAGTGGCACGGCCATCACGCACGGACCTGCCTGCTCAGGTTTTGGGCCTCGGAGTCCGGGGCTCAGGTCCTGCGCCACTGCCTTCTCTTGGTTTGGAAAAGCAAACAGTGGATAATTGTTGGGGGCAAAGAGGCTGTTTGCAGAAGGCTTAGCTTCCAAGCCCTCTGGGTGCTGGGGAAGTGCACTATCTGCCCGACTGCTGGTGGGGTGACGGGACAGGGCAGGCGATTGTCCCCCATCCTGAGGGGCACCCACAGGCCAGGCTGAGGCCCAGACCAAGCCTTCCCCATCATCGCCAGCCCCAGACATCATGACGCTCATGTCACAGGGACGCGCTGCTCCCGAGGCCTGCCAGCCTGCGGGGCTGCGGTGTGAGGAGCTGCGCACTCTCCCTCCGCACCTCAGGCTCTTCCCTTTCCCATCGTCGTCTGTCTGTCCTTCTAGCTGCATCAGCCTGTCTTTCCCCAGCCCCTGCTCCGGCCCCAGAGTCTCAGGGCCTCTGTCCAGCAGGAGCGGGAGAGTTTGGGCAGCGTCTGGCTCAGGGAGACACGAGAACCCTCGCACACTGGGTGTTGCTCCTCTGGGCACCAGTGGGCAGCAGGGCCTGCTCCGGGTGCTGCCTCCCCTCCCCCAGCCCCACGGCACCGAGCCCAGGGCCAGCCGGGGCCACCCAGACACTCTGCCTTCCAGACCCTGCCGAGTCAGTCCCCGCCATCCTGGACAGCTTCCACTCCCAGGAGGTGTGGGCCGGCCACACCGTGGAGCTCCCCTGCACCGCCTCCGGCTACCCCGCCCCCGCCATCCGCTGGCTCAAGGACAGCAGGCCCCTCCCGGCCGACAGCCGCTGGACCAACCACGTCACAGGGCTGACCATCAGCGACCTGCGGACCGAGGACAGCGGCACCTACATCTGTGAGGTCACCAACACCTTCGGCTCAGCCGAGGCCACAGGCACCCTCACGGTCATAGGTGAGTGGGAGGCTGCTCTTCCAGCCCTGTCCTTGACAGTGGCCTTTAAGAGCACGAAGAGGGGAGGGGAGGAGCCTGGGGTAGCTATGCCTGCCTCTGGGCCGCCCTGGGGAGAGTCTCCTGGTTGGGAAAGGCAAAGCAGACCTGCCTCTGGCTCCAGCATGATGGGCAGGTCACACCCCGTGACCAGGGCCCTCGTCTGTGAATGGGATCGTGATCCCTGGCTTCCTACCTCCCAGAGGTCACAAGGTCAGATGGGCCAAGAGGGTGATGGGGACAAGCTTGCAGGGTTTCTGGCTTGTGGAAGGAGACGGTGTCTGTACGAAGGGAAACCAGCGGACGTTGCTGCGTTAAAGAGAACAGAACTGTCCCATCAGGCACTGGTGGAAACAGCCCAGGCGTCCTTCAGGGGTGGTCCTTCCTCTTCCTGCCCAGCTCAGGGCCCCAGGGGAGCAGAGAGGCCCTGGGTGCAGAGGGGAGGAGAGGCAGAGGGCTGATGCCAGGGGAGACCCCTGGAGCAGGATTGGTGAGGCCCAGGGCATCCTCTGCACCACCCCTCTCTCCCCTACCGCCAGCGGCCCGGCCTCCGACTGCCCTCTGTACGTGAAGAGGCCCTCCTAGCTCTGGCACCGAGTGCGACTCTGAGTGTCTGCTCTCTGGGCTGCAGGGAGCTGCTGGCAGTAGTGGGGCCAGGATTCGGAGACACTCGGGGGGGTCTCACTCCCGTAGGGCAGCAGTGGCCTGA